TTTGGTGCTCACCACCCCCTATGAAAAAAAAAAAAAAAAAAAAAAAAAAAAAAAAACTCTTCAAACAAACAAACAAACAAAAACCCATACTTGTTTTGTTACACAGATTTTTTTATTTATTTAATTTTACTTATGTATTCATTTATTTTAATTTGACCAGAGAGAGACACAGAGAGCAAGAGAGAGGGAAAGTGAGAAAGCAAGCCACCAGGTCAGGGACTCAAACCTCAGTCAACCATGCGGGAGTCCAGTCCTTCTAACACCATGCCACCCACTGGCGCCCCACAAACGTCTCTTGATCTACTGGTCAGCTTGCCTACAGTCTAATCCACGTGGCACTCTACCATCACTAACAACCCTGGACTATGAGATTCAAAGTCGAAACCTCCAAAGGACCCAAACTCTCCTACCCATACCCTGCCCCAGAAGGACCTAGCACTGCAAAGGGACAGGCCCCACACCACTTTAAAATCAATGTTCTTCACCACACCTTCAACACCTCTGATTCACGCGAAAAACTCAACCTACCGAAATAACCTAACATAAAAAATACATGCTGTGGTGAGGCCAACAGGTGGCGTGGTGGTTAAGGGCACTGGACTTCCACATGGCCAACCGCAGTTTGAGTCCCGGACCTGGTAGCTTGCTTTCTCACTTTCCATCTTTCTCACTCTTCCTTAATCTGGCCCTTTCTGGTCAAATTAAAATAAATAAAAATTTAAATTAAATAATAATTTTTAAAAAAATAAAAATATACGTGCTGGGGCAAGGAGCTAGCGTGGTGGTCAATGTGGTAAGATCCCACAGGGCAGACTTTGCAGTTCGAGTCCCAGACCTGGTGGTTTGAAAAACATGCTAGGTGCATGTGCATGCGTGCCCAAGATCCCAAGAGAAGAATGGAGGGAAAGGCATTGCAGCATGGCCATCACCCCTTGGGGGTGATTCCTACTTTCCCCCTCTCTCTCTCTCTACTCCTTGGATGAGAGCAAATATCCTAAACTTAAAAAAAAATTAAAAAAAAAAAAAAAAAAAGTTCAATTCCTTCTGAAGACTCTATTTACCCTAGAAGATAGGAGGTAAATTAAAATTGAGTTTTGGGTGAAGAAAAAAATAAGGCTATTACCAACCTCTTCCAACAGATGATCATCTGGATCATATTCTTTCAGATTAATAATTTCCACAGGCAGGTTTAGGGAGGCAACTGCTTCAGCAAGAACTTTCGCAAATCCCTAATAGAAAAAAAATAAAATAAAATAAAGTCTTTAATAAGTCAAATATGCAAAGTATAGCCTTTATTTACCTCTGTTGGCCAGGAAATATGGCATTTCTCTTAAAAAACTTTTCTAGTGGGACCAGCAGTTAGCATAATGACTATGTTGCTGGACTCCCATGTAGTCAACCACGCTTCACATCCCAGACCTGGTGGCTTAAAATTCACACCGGGCGTGTGTCCGTGTGTGCCCAAGATCCCGAGAGGAGAATGGAGAAGGGATTGCGGCGTGGCTATCCCTAGCCCTCCAGCTCCTCAGGTTCTTGGCATTTGTGCACATGACCCGTACTTTCAGACTAACCCAGGGATCCAAACCCACAGTCGGCCATGTGGCTTGTAACACCACAGTCCAGTACGCAATGGACTGCATACCCTAAGCTGGGCTCATTTGATCTTCGAAAAAATTTAACAGCATACATAAAGCAGCACTGAATAAGCTCTTTTATGAGTAGCAGGCCGACTACACAGTTAGGAGTCTGGATCCACCACTGTGAAAATCACACCAGGCACATATGCTTGTGCGCCCAAAATTCCAAGAGAAGAATGGAAAAGAAGGGACTACAGGATGGTTGTTCCCCCTGGGTGGTGATTTCTCACTTTCTCTCTCTCTCTCTCTCTGTCAATTACACACACCCTATAACAACAAAAAAAAAAAGATTTTATTTTGGCTGCCTAGATGCCTTTTTTCCTTTCTTCAGGTTTCTGATCTCTGTTGCTTAAGGTTGAACTGAAAGAGTGACCTTCAACTATAACATGGCGCAAAGCACACCTGCCCTGAAGCACTGAAAACCTAACTAGCATTATTCTGCATATCATCCACAAGAGGGCAGTAAAATCCCCTTTAGTAATGTACAGAAATGAAGTCTTTTCTCTCTTTTTTTAATAATTCATTTTCAATCTAGCCTTACTAAGAATCTCTTCATAGGAGGCACTAAATAACTGTGACCATCATAACAAAGAAGCAGATAGTATCTATTAATAAAAAGGTACAACTAAAGGATAGAAAGCATCTTTCAGCTACCTATTTATCTATTTTAATGTCTGCCTTTAACAATTCTAACACTATTAGAAATCAAGGGCGAGGTCGACCGCGGTCCAGGCACGTGTGCATGCGTGCCCAGGATCCCCAGAGGAGAATGGAGGAGAAGGGATTGCGGCATAGCTATCCCCGCGGGGGGTGATTTCTTGCTTGCTGTCTCTCTCTCTTTCTGGCGAGCCCACACGACCTATAGCAAAAACCTCTCAAAAAAAAGGATGCATATCAGGGATTTTCTTGAAATGTCATAACACCAAGGAAAAGCGTCATACAAAATTCTTACCTTTGCTGTACCAGTCTGTGAACCATAAAAAATCTTCACTCCAGATACAAAGATTTCCTTCTTTTGAAGGGAGAGACTGCCATTTGTCATCAAATGCCGAGTTGCTTTTGAAAAAGATTTCTCCTGTGAGTTCTTATTCTGAAAGATAAACAAGTGCACAAAATCTACCAAATCTGAATCTTCTGCCAATTTTAACAGGGATAAAAATTAGTACAGATATTGATTCACTTTATTATTCTCTATTTCAGGCTGTATACCCCAAATATTAACCTCTTTAATATAACTAGGTTCTTTAAAAGTAGGAAGTATATTTTTTTAAACTTTAAAAAAATATCTGGGGGAGGGCCAGCAGATGGCATGGTGGTTAAGGGCACTGGATTCCCACATAGCAGACCAGTTTGAGTACCAGACCTGGTGGCTTGCTTTCTTAATTTCTCTTTCTCTCTCTCTCTCTGTCTCTCTTTGATCAAAATAAAAAGTAATAACAAATGGAATTAAAAAAATAAATAACTTTTTTAATGGGGGGAGCCGCAAGTAGCGGGGTAGCTAAGAACACTGGACTCCCACATGACATGACCAACTGTGGTTCGGGTCCAATACTTGACAGCTTGCTTTCTCATTTTCCCTCTTTCTCTCTCACTCTGTCCCTCACAAACTAAAATAAATAAATAAAGTCAAATAAAATAATTCTTTAATTCTTTTTTTTTTTTTTTGCTAGAAGGCTTGTGCACTCAGCACAGACAGAAAGGCGAAGAGAAAGGGAAGGAGAAAGCATCTCTCATGGGGCGTGATCATGTCACAGTCCCTTCTCCTCCAGATCTCCTTCCTTCCAGGATTTTGGGTACACATGCACAGGCACACATGGCATGTTTCTCAAGCTGGGTCTGGGTCTCGAACTATTCTGATGGCTATGTAGGGTCTAATTGCCTTAATCACCAGGCCATGGAGCCAGCCCAGAATCACATATATTTTTAAGAATGATTTAATTTTATTTATCATTATTCTTACTATTTTTTAATTTGACCAGAGAGAGAGGGAGAGTAAGAAACCAAGCCGCCAGGTCGAGCACTTGAACCATGGTCAGGCATGTGGGAATCCAGCGCCTTAACCATCATGCCAT